CTGTATTTCATTTGTTTTGCATTGATTTTGCATTTTTCCGTGATGTCAAATTAATCCTTCATCTCATTTACATATTTCGCAAAAATCCAGCCATTTTCAATCAAAAGTCAATGCAAAATAAATCAAAATCCAATGTTCAATGCTATTTCAATGCTTTTTTCCCAAACAATTTAGCAAGGAGCCACAGTTGATTTCTTTGCAAATCAAAAAACAATGAAAATCCAATGTTCAGAAAACAACTACAAAATAAATCAAAATTCAATCAATTTGATTTTGCTAAGGGTATACATGTGTATATATTTAAAATATCAAAAGAAATCCCTTGTAATTACTATAATTATATTCTTAGAATCTTGGCAAGCACATTCATTGAATTTCTGCAAAGTTGCTGTGTTCGATTAAAGTAATTAATACCTTGAGGGTATATTATATGTAGGAAAACAATGATGGCTATGTTCCATAATTTTCTTATCGATTAGTTTCATCAATAGTGCCCGTGTGGCGCAGTGGTTAGAGGGTCTGCTCTAGCGTCGCGAAGTAAGGAGTAGATCCTTAATTACTTCGCAGTTTCGAATTGCAATTTGGAAAGAGGGGACCGGTCTTTATAATGAGACCGTATAAACTGAGGTCCCGTGTCGCAGTCAGTGTTGGCACGAAAAAGATCCCTCACTGCTCAATGGTGCTAAATGCAGAGTATAGGACAAAATTTGAAGCTCTTCACCGGCAGGTGGTGGCGTCTTCATATCAGTAAGAAATCATGGAGAGGGACATTAAACAACATACAATCATTCAATCAATCAATCAATCAAAAATAGCATGATTGAACATATTCAGAATCCCATCCTAATACTTGATACACGGCAGACAAATAAGTGCCTTTAACCAAACGTCACATATATAATGTTATAATATATAACATATATCATGTTTTAGGTTGAAAATAAAACTATTTTGTAGAACAACTAATGGAATCAAAGTGTGAATTGATTTTTATATGTACATGTATCATTCATTAAAAATAAATATGAAACCCCAAGAAGATAGAAATCCTTATGAAAAGAAAGAAGTTGAACAAAAGCACCAATGCCTTCTGTTTTTCTTTTGATGGTGAAAGGTTATGATATATAACAGAGTACACAATATGTACGTATGTGGAAAATGATAAGCCAAACACTATGTATCCTGGCAAATACATAATTATCATTAAAATTAGTGCCATTAACATTGACCTACTGTGCTCCCTGATACAGGTCGGATAGAGGGGATAACAGAGGCCGTATTTCAGTTGATCTCTGGTTGCTCTGTTCTTCCTTATAGAGGTTGGTAAAAGTATTTTTTCCACTAGGCACTTCACTTTGATGACAGCCCCTGGTATCTTCGTCAGATGTCTCTGCAGGGGATCTATTTTTTAAACATATGGAGACTTATTCTTTATAATTATTCTATTATGAATCTCTTTGGCAACAAAGCTACAGAACATCTTGTAATTTGCTACCTGTATGATAAAGGTATACTATACTATAACCTTAGGCAATTAAAAGTAATGGATTTTTTCGAGGTTTCCATACCAAATACTGTAGATGTACTTTTTTCCATGGGGTCATAATTCCTCGGAATCTCTATTTCCGTTTAATCCGCGGGTAGAAAAGTACGCAGTTTTTTTAAGATGTCGCTATATGCCTTATATTTATATTATTTTCGCCTGAACAAATTTCGGCGGAAAATTTTTGACCGCGTACATAGCGTTAATTAAAACCACGCGGAAAAAAGTACTTGTACAGTAATTTAAAAACTCATGAATTCTGGACCTAGTTATTTATATTTGTCTGTGAGAATTTTAATGAAGTTTAGGAATCCAAGAGAGATGTGGGTTGGGAAGATCCAACTCACCTTGATTGACTGGATTGTTAAAAGAATGAAACACTGAAATCTGATTTCGAATAATTTCATCCTTGGAAGGGAAATGTCAGTATTAATAGTATTTACAGACGTAGTATTACATGTCAAACTAAATTCTTTAAAAAAAAAACAGTAATAATACTATATGATATAAAAGACTATACTATGTGATTACCAGCTCTACCTGCTCGAACTATTTCATATTTTTGATGTCGTCCTTTCAATTCTTTTATATCCTTCAAATTAGGAAAACAGATTATGGCTCAAGATTTATAGAAGAATCGAAGTGGATTAAAGACTTTTAGAAGGATTTCCCCTATTTTGTCAGTGCTGATAAAATCATATCGGCAATGTTCTGCAAAACAATAAGTATCGACTGTATTTTAAGTAGAATTTTGATTATTCTCAATTTAAAAAAAATCAAACTGAAATCTTTAAATACAATTTGTTCAAGTTTAGTCTCAACCAAAAATACTAATTTTGCAATTTAAACAGAATTTTGAGAATTGTCACTCCAAATATCGTATAACACTGTTTCAACACATCATTTGACACAGTCGACTCAGTTGAACAGTACTTTATCTATTGTTCGGAACTCTTTTTCAAGAAATATGTGAGAAGATTTTTACGATTTAAATACTGCTTAGGTTCTACATACTAGTACATGAGCTAACCTCCCCCCCCCCAAAAAAAAAAAAAACTGTTCTAGAAATTCATATGATGAATAATTGCCTCCTCTCCTCAACTCCAGCGGTGTAGTAATGTTTTTGAAAGCAGGGAGCATATACTCTGTAAAAGTTTTGCAAAATTTAAAAATGTAATCTAACTATTTTTGTCCACTTTTGGATTATCATTATTACATTAGAATATCTGGTTTTCATATAGTCTCTCAGTCTTTTATTACGCGATTATAACATAGATCTGATACATATAATCCATTCTGACAAAGTGTTAATGTCTTTTTTCATAGCTGTCCCATCGACTGGCGTAATATTCAACAGAATCCATAATATTTATAAATTTCAGACGCTAGTTGAAGGATCAGTATTTCCTATATTTTGGGCCTTTTAAAATAAGTGAAATAGAGTCCTCAATACTAACTTTATTTACGTCATCTATACATGTAATAACGTGTCCAGCAGGACAATAGTTATAGGGTGGAGACGAACATGAACACGATGGAGGATTATGATATTCAATATCCAGTTTTTTGTGTTTGTTTGTTTGTTTGTTTTGTTTGTTGTTTTGTTTTTTTTTTTTGGCTATTAGAAAGTTTGGAACCAATAGTCAATGTATATTTGTAGGATTTACAAGATGTAGTCTTTAACTTGAAGTACATGCATGGTGGAATTAAGAATAGATTCACTTTAGGTGTTATACAGGTTCTGAGAAATTTACAACAACAAAGATACAATAAACCTGCTAGACTAAGTAAAATTGTTGAGAGAAATATTGTAGATATAAAAAGAAAAACTTACATTGAATATTGATGTTTTGTCCTCCTTTTTCTAGTGTGAGCTGAAAAATTTAGCATCCATGAATTTAAACTATAATATATAATCTGCGACGTATTATATTCGAACGATTTTCTTGCATTAAAAATTCTTTCAAATAAGACTGGTTTTTATGAATGTAAATTTAACTATCAAAATGCATAACATCAGGTTGAAAAAAGAAAGAAAGGGAAAAAATTAATTTTCAGATTGCATATTTAAAGAAAAAAAAACTTAAGAAAGCAGTTTTAAGATCAAATGTTGGGTCTTCAGTGATTACATTTGTCAAACATGGATTTGAAAATGCCATCAAACAAAAGGAAATTACTTGAAACCTTAGATCCTCACTCCCAATAAAAAAGCGAATGAAAGCACATTTGTAGTTTGTTTAATACCCAGGAGCAGAGGAGATTGTTTTGCAATGAATTAATGTATATTCGTTATAAAATTAACAGAGCCCAAAACCAAAACCCCTAGCCCAGGGAGCATGAAATCCAAAATTTGCGAAGAAAACTGTTATTAAAACTATGTATCGACTTAGCTTGTTTAATAATTAGGAGCAAAGATAGAGATTTGAAAAGAAATAATGCATTTTCACTTTATTACCTATATAGCCCCGCCCTAACAGCAGAGTCCCCTGACCTTTGGACCATGAGTTTCACCATTTTGGTAGAGGCATCATTTTATTTTTACAATCTTACAAACAGTGTGACTGCTAAACTGATCATGATGTCCAGGTGTGGAGAACAAGCTTTTTAAAAATTAGCATTTATTTTAGTTGTTTTAGCCCTACTCCTCGGGCCCAAGGGGAACAATTTTTGTTCCCCTACATCCATTGACGCTTTATGCAAAAATTGATTAAAACTGGTTTAGTGGTTTCAGGGAAGAAGCGGAGAATGTCAACGCACGACGCAGGACAAATCTCGCACGACGAAGGCCGTTGGACAAAAACGGATAGCAATAGGTGACTTGAGTGATTAAGGTGACTAAAAAATCTTTTAGAAGTTTCTGTTTAAGAACAACAGAAATATTTGTTTAACTATGTGGAATATGGAAGCATCCTCAGGTAGTTTAAAAATTACCCTTTTCCCAATGTACACTTTACAAAATTAACTTATTTGTGCTTTTTCTAGCCAATGCGCTGTTGACAAATTGACTTCTTATCCCCCGTTATCAGGATTCCTTTAAAATAAGCTTTTGGTATAATCTTTTTTTTTTAAATACAATTTTTATAAAAGCATACTTTGTGTTAACTCACGTAAATTTTGGCAATTTGTTTATAAAAAAAAGTTGTTATTTTGAACATGAACATCTCATTGAAGAGTTGTTGGACGGCGACCGAACTTCAATCTTAAAAGTTCATAAAAGCTTTTGTGTAAAATGAAGTATTAATCATAAGTTCATTTAAATATCAGCACAAATTCTTTCACTAGTTTGGTTCCTACTACTTTAAAACTGTCTTTGTCGTTCATTCTCCTATTTCTTTAAAGATGTCTTCGTTTACAGGCAATTAGTATTAATTAAACTTCAAAATCTAATCTATCTTTCCTGGTTATATTTTTTATTAAGGAATCTCTTTAAAAATGGACATAGATAAACGTTTCAAAGCTAATGCAAATGTATGTATTGTCTTAGTGCACCTCTCTTAAAAATACACCATATCATTATTATTCCCAAGAACACCAGAAGAGCTGTGATTACACCAATGACTGCTCCTATGGATCCAAGTTCAGCATAAACGGCTGTATTGTTGGATTCTGAATAATTCGTATGATCTGTACTAATATTCAAAATTCCCAGGATAGGTGTAGATATTATCCCTGTTGTGACATTTTTAGTGCTAAAATATAATTAAAAGAATTATTTTAAGAAATAATAAGAAACTGTTACAAAATTTATGATGAGAACTAACATATTACGCAGGAACTGTTTTAAAATGACAAACATAACATAAAACCATTTGATAATGGTAAATCAAATGCAATTAGTACAAAACTTACGCATAACAAAATGGATCAGCAACAAAACAGCCCTTCTCTGTGTTTATATGATGACAAGCTGGATCTAAACAGGGAAGTCCATTATGTTCATAAAATTGATATTTTCAAATAAAGAGAAAAACGAGAAAAAAAATAACATTTCAAGCATATAAGCCAAGTATATTTTTTTACATTTATACAGGTCTGTACTTCTAAAATGTTCTGCTGGACATCCCTCTGTAAAATTTTTACAACTGAACTGGTCCAGATGTCCATCTCCAACAGCTCTTAGACAATGACCTATATGTTAAAGAAATTATTCAATAAAATCTCTTCTTTTTATCTAATTTTGAATATGAGATACATGGGAAGAAAAGATCAATGATTTCAATTACAAAAGGCTTCAGTTATTAATATATACTTTACCTATTTCATAAAAGGCAACTATCGTTTTTGTAAAACAGAACTCTACTAAGGCCGTAAGGTTTTGAACTGGAACACAGACATACGGACTCCGTCCGTTCTCATCTTCACCACATTTCAATCTCGTAGCTGCTTCTGATGTTTCCTCCTTATTTAAAGGACATGAATTCACCACATATCCGAAATCAGTAGAGGACATAGTAGTTTCGATATATTTTAAATTTGATTGACAAGTATGTCTACTGAAGAAACTGATGAATCTGAAGATTGTCTGAAATGGGAAGTGTTTATAAGCTACATTGTAAAGAAACATTCAACTAAAATGATAATAAGCTCATCAACATAACTTGTCATAACTGTCGATTAGAATTCAAGCTATATAAGTATGCAATATGAAATATCTACTTAAAAAATTGTTCTTTATAAATACAATTAAGAACTGTTTTCTCTAATTTTGGAACTAACTCCTTGTCAGTGTGAAAAAACCTGTTTTGTTAGTCTGGTCTGTAAAAAAATAATAATAAAACTCAGCGATAGTTTACTGCAGAAACACAAATTTTCGTGGGTATAAAATTTCATTGATTTGTCATCAAAAGTAGTTTTGTGGGCATTTAACTTTATTGTTTTGAACGTTACCCTATTCAATATTTCGTCAAATAAAACTTCGTGTGGGATTTAATTTCATTGATAATTGTTAGAGATGAAATAAAAGAAATTTAACCACACTCCCCCTTCCGAATATTTGTGCTTTTACAATATAACGTATTTTGAAAGACTGAAACAGGAAGAAAATAACATAAAAGTCAGCAAGTAATAATATGATATGGAAAAATAAAACATATTTTGTCTACCATAACTGCTTGAATCATCGATAAATACATTTAGTTACATCAAAGTGATTCCACCTCGTTTAATTTCACACATTTTTGCAAAATCCTAACTTATTTTAGTTTAATTAATTCTAGTTCATTCAAATCGCAAAATATAATTTCTACGATTTTTTACAACCTGTTAGATGAATGATGAATTAAATACTACCGACAAAATGGAGTTTCTTTAAACATAATGCAAAATTTAATTTTAATGCTACGACACTTACATGTAAGCATATATATTAGGATTGATCAAAAAGTAATGTCACAACATCGATAAAATTGCTACTATAAAAAATGTTAAATCTATTTTTTTCAAAATCGGATCTGAAAAATTTCAATTCAAAATGATTTATTCTTTTAATAATATTGGATTTTAAATACAATGTGAATTGTTCATCTGAATAGGGTCATATAATGGATACTTGTCATACATACAAACGTTTCCTCATAAAAAATATTTTAGACTCAAGATATGTTCACAAAGTTCATGTCTAAAAGAATCCTTTGTACTCACTCACTCTTCATAATTAAGTCCTCTGTCGAATTTTTTTGAACATTTTCTAAAAGAATTCTTTATATATAGGCAATTTAGCCACATATAATCCACATATGCATTGCCTTTCATATGAAGATCATATGTGGATCATATGAGAATCATATGTACATGTATGTGCAATCATATGAGAATCATATGTGGCAAATCATATGAGAATCATATGATCATACATATGTGAATCATATGAAGTAATATACATATGATTCTCATATGAAAGGTCCTACATATGAGAATCATATGTATATTTTGGCAGTGATCATATGAGAATCATATGAAACTGAACATATGAGAATCATATGAAACCATATTCACTTATTTGCCCTTGTTATACTCAGGTAAAAATTATACGAATATTTTGGCAGTGATCATATGAGAATCATATGGCACAGTGATCATATGAGAATCATATGAAGCAGTATTCACTAATTTGCCCTTCGTATACTCAAGTAAAATTGCAATTTCAATATTATATCTTTATAGTAATTTAGATGTACATCAACTTCAAAAGAATTTGTTAGCAATAACTTATGTTAACAGGGCTCTCGATTCTCTATAATTGGGGCCGATATTTGGCCCCATTCCCAGCGTGAAAAAGGTACCTTTTTCCCAAATTTAAGGGTAAAAAATCCCAAAATATGATTGCTTCAAATTCATTTCTGTAACAAAAAAGAATATCTTTGACAGTCGTAAAAGCACTGTTAAGATATGAAGGAAAGACGTTCGTGTTATGAACTGGTAGTTTGTTTATATGCTGGAACCAGTTTAGTACGTAAACGAAAGTCGTCTGTAGTAAAGTAGGTACGACTTGTTCATTCACAACATGTCGCAGAATGTGAGGATCCTCGAAATTAATCATTTTGTTAATGGAAAATACTCTTTGAATGAGAATTAAAATAAAAAACTGCGAGTTAAAAGCGACCTGTGTTCGCCACATTTTGTGAGAAAAAAAGGTCTTGTAAAAAAATCAGATTACCAAAACTGAATGAGAAGCACTAGGCCTACAGGTATTTTATTCACTATTTTGCTATTAGATTCCCTTACAATTAAAAAAAAAAAGGTATCATGTGCCTACAGTTTATAAATCCCCATAATCTTATCCCTTTTGCAGCGCTACCTGTCTTATAATTTACTTCCAAAAACGATCGTTTTTTTTTATCCGAATTTCCTCCACTCCTCTCTTTGTGGTAAACACAATCAGATACAATGTAGGCATAACATTAGATATTCCATTAAATTATTTACGACCTCTAAAACAACTTGAGTAAGAAAGTTATGTAATTTTCCAAAAAATATATCCCCAGTGTATTTAATGATTTAATTCTAAATTTATAAAGATGATTTTTTTAATTAAACAACTGATTTACTCTGTATCTGTTCAGATTTCATCTGAAATAAAACGGCATAAATGCTCCCAAGAGGTTAATTATTATCATTTTTTTAATAGATTATTTAAATCTTATATGAATCACTATAAGGAGAAAAAATGCTAGGAAAAGTTCAAAATTACAATTTGATAGTAAAAATAAATCTGCTGATATTTACTACAGTAGTCAAAAAGTTAAGTTTGATCCCCGCAGTACTGTTGTCAGTGTAGAAAAAATATTTCTACTAAGAGCAAGACAATGATGTAAGTTTAAATTATGACTGGTAAAAAATTCCCAATTTTTATAAAAACGTCGCTTTTTTCCCAATTTCAATGGTCCCGGCCCCAGTACCAAAATGGGTGTGAGAGCCCTGGTTAAGTTCTACTCTGTTTAACACCCCCCCCCCTTTTCCCTTATTAAAAAAAAAAAAAAAAAAAAAAAAACTTTCACAATTTTCTTTTTCTGTAATAATGCATATCCCAGGCAAAATTGATAAAGAAAAAAATCATTTGCTTTTCATTTCAAATCTTTTGGGTATGGGTTTATTACTTGAGAATCATATGAAACAGTATTCACTAATTTGCCCTTGGTATACTTAAGTAAAATTGCAATTTTAATAATATATTTCAATAGTAATTTAATTGTACATCAATTTAAAAGAATTTGTCTGCAATTACTTATGTCAAGTTCTACTCTGTTTAACACCCCCCCTTTTCCCTTATATAAATAAAAAAAACCTTTCACAGTTCTCTTTTTCTGTAATAATGCATATCCCGGACAAAATAGATAAAGAATAAATTACTTATTTCAAATCTTTTTGGTTTGGTTTATTACTTGAGTAAAATCAAAATAAAGAAAAATCCGTATTTTTTCCCAGACAGGTTTTGACTTCTATCGGATGAAAGTGTACGTCATGTTTGACGTCACTGCTGCAGCAGAAGTGCTGGGTGTTGGAAAAAGTAAGTAATCTCCTAACAATTTCTTAAAGACCTTTAATTCATATTGTTTAAATATCGTTTCATTACGGCTACAGGTTCGAATGAACTCATCTCTATAATACTCTCAACACTTGTAATTGTTAAATAATGCATCTCGTAAACCTACATAACGTTAGTCATCTGTAAGTATAAATTTTGGATAAATTTGTTTCTGAATGGATGTAAACATTACAATTTACATGTTAGGCTAAAGGCATTACTTTGTTTTCTTTTTGTTTTGACTTTTGTTACGTACTGATTTGAAAGTGAAAGTAGAAACCCTGTATAGCAGTTTGGGGTTTTTGTATGTTGACTTTTTTGTTGAGGTCGTTATCAAGTCGATTCTTTCATCAACTTAATGACAAATGTTTGTTTTTATGGCCTATAGATGCATTCAACAATTTGAGTTCATTGTCACCGTGCTGCTTTTTTATTAAGTCCAAGAAGCCCAAAGCTGATAAGACTGGCGATTGATCCAAAAGCTGATTGTAACAGACGATTGCATCATCACAATAGTCCAATCCACACTATGCAAAAGTTGTTTCTCTTTGCGGGGTCAACGAAAAGGTCAAAAGGGAAAGAAACGTCATTCCTCCGCTTCATGCTACCAAATATTGGGGCGTGCTGTGAAAAATCCATTGCATTTATTTTTTTTTCTTTCAATGTGTGGGTAGCCCCATCTTGGGGCAATCAGTACACAAAAGGCAGAGCTTCATAAAAGTCAAATGACGAAGTTACAAACCTGAAAACTACAAAGGCTAATGTGTGGATTGTTTGGGTTTATCCCCTAAGATGGCGGCCAAGGGACATAACTTTTGAAAAGTGTGGATTGGTCTATATTAAAGGTAAAAAGAAATACTTGCAATAAAAAAAATCAAAGTGTACATCTGTAATGACTCCTTTATGACAAAATATTTCTTGATAATTTCTTTTTGTTCCTTTATAATTCTACATTTTTGCATGGGTTCATCAAAAATAAATTTAACTCAATAATATAGAAGTTGTATTCTACATTTTGAAACAATTTTAATCCAATGCACTTTTAAATATGGTAAGTATGAATAGAATATGCTGGCTTTAAAAGCTATGAAAATATACAATAACTTCAGGGGGTAAATTGAATTTTTGAATTTCAGCAAAAAAATAATAATAACAGTGGCAACTTTCAAAGTACACATATGCATGTGTATGTGTTGAAATTACATCAGATAGCTAATCCATTGAATATTTACATCTATGTATTCATTGACTGACATTTATAAAAAAAAATGTCCAATACTAATAGAGATCCTAGTTTCAGGTAAAATGTAAGATATTTAAGACTATTGAGAACCTACAAACTTGTATACTCTCTCTTTTTTGTAGTTTAAGTTTTAGTTATGCTTAGAAAATATCTACTGTGTTAATATTGGTTTTACAGGTTCAATATACAGGCAGCTCTCATGAGAAAAAATCCAAAGATCCTAGGCTTGT